AGTGTTGTTGCTAAAGTGTAACAGGAATCACTTTTGTTCCAGTTCCCAAGAAGTTCCTTATCTCCATCTGAGACCACCTCAACCTGGACTTCATTTTCTATATTACTATCAACATTTTAGACACAACCATTCAACAAGTCTCTAGGAAGGTCCAAACTTTACCACATCTTCCTGTTTTCTTCTGACCCTCCAAACTGTTCCAACCTCTTCCTGTTTCTTAGTTCAAAAGTTGTTTTCACATTTCTGGGTATCTTTACAGCAGCATCCCACTCCTGGTACCAATTTACTGTTTTAGTCTATTCTCACACTGCTATGAAGAAGTACCCAAGACTGGGCAACTTATAAAGGAAAGAGGTTAAATTGACTCACAGTTGCACATTGCTGGGGAAGCCTCAGGAAATTTACAATTATGGTGGAAGGCAAAAGAGAAGCAGGCATCTTCTTCACAGGGTGGCAGAATGAACTGGGTGCAATGAGGGTAATGCCAGATGCTTATAAAACCATCAGATTTCATAAGAATCACTCGCTATCACAAGAATGGTATGAAGGAAACTGTCCCCATGATCCAGTTATCTCCACCTGCCCTTGACACATGGGGATTACAATTCAAGGTGAGGTTTTGGGTGGGACACAGCCAAAGCATGTCACACAACAAAAAAGACAACTACAGGCCAAGATTCCTATTGAACATAGATGAAAAAATCCTCAACAAAATGTTAGCAAACCAAATTCAACAGCACATTAAAAAAATACATCATCATTCCAAGGATGCAAGGATGGTTGGACATGTGCAAATCAATAAACATGATACATCACATCAACAGAATAAAGAATAAAACCATATGATTATCTAATAGATGGAGAAAAATATTGGTAAAATTCAAAATCCTTTCATGATAAAAACCCTCAACTAACTAAGCATGTAATGACCATCCCTCAGCCTAATAATGGCCATATAAGACAAACCCACGGATAACATTATAATGAATGACTAAAAGCTGAATGGCTTTCCTTTAAGAACTAGAATAAGACGAGGATGCTCATATTCACCACTATAATTCAACACAGTACTGGAAGTTCTGGCCAGAGTACTTGGTCAAAAGAAAGAAATAAAGGGCATCCCATGAAACTGGAAACCATCATTCTCAGCAAACTGACAGAAGAGCAGAAGATCAAACACCGCATGTTCTCACTCATAGGCAGGTGTTGAACAATGAGAACACATGGACACAGGGAGGGAACATCACACACCGGGGTCTGTTGGGGGGAAATAGGGGAGGGATGGTGGGGGATGGGGAGTTGGGGAGAGTAGCAGGGGGAGAGACGCCAGATGTAGGTGATGGGGAGGAAGGCAGCAAATCACACTGCCACATGTATATGTGTACCCATGAATCAATCTTGCATGTTCTTCACATGTACCCCAAAACCTAAAATGCAATAAAATAAAAGGAAAAAAAAAAGAAAGAAAGGGCATCCAAATTAGAAAAGTGGAAGTCAAACTGTCCCTTTTTGCTGATGATATGATTTTTTTTTTTTTTTCGAGACAGAGTCTCACTTTGTCACCCAGGCTGTAGTGCAGTGACATGATGTCATCTTACTGCAACCTCTGCTTTCCAGGTTCAAGTGATTCTCCTGCCTCAGCCTCCCTAGTAGCTGGGATTACAGGTGTGTGCCACCATGCCTGGCTTATTTTTGTATTTTTAGTAGACACGGGGTTTCACCATGTTAGCCAGGCTGGTCTCAAACTCCTGACCTAAGGTGAGGTGATCCACCCTCCTTGGCCTCCCAAAGTTCTGGGATTATAGGTGTGAGCCATCATGCATAGCTGATGATATGATTTTATATCTAGAAAAAAACTTGACCCCATAAAAAAACCTCTTAGATCTAATAAATAAATTCAGTAAAGTTGCAGGACACAATGGCAGCATTCCGAAAATCAGTAACTTTGCTGCATACCATTAATGAACTAGCTGAGAAGGAAGTCAAGAAGGCAGTCTCTTTTACAATAGCTACAAGAAAGATAAAATACCTAGGACAAAATTTAACCAAGGAGGCGAAAAATCTCTACAAGGAAAACTACAAAATGCTGATAAAAGAAATTGAAGAGAATACATGCAAATGGCAAGATATCTCATTCACATGGATTTGAATAATTAATTTCATTATAATAACCACACAGCCCAAGGCAATCTAGATTCAGTGCAATCCCTATCAAATTACCAATCTAATATTTTTTCACAGAATTAGAAAAAATAGTCCTAATATTTATATCAAACAACAACAACAAAAAGCCTAAATAGCCAAAGCAAACCTGAGCAAAAATATCAAAGCTGGAAGCCCTTCACACTACCTGATTTCAAAATACATTTCAAGGCTATGGTAACCAAAACAGCATGGTATTGGTATAGAAACAGACACACAGACCAATGGAACAGAATCCTGAATCCACATATTTTCAGCCAACTGGTTTTTGACAAAGGCACCAAGAACATGCCTTAGGGAAATGACAGCCTCTTCAATAACTGGTGATGGGAAAATTGGATATCCACATGCAGAAGAATGAAACTGGACCCCCCATATAAACAATCAATTCAAAATGGGTTAAAGTGTTAAATGTAAGACCCTCAAACTATAAAACTACAAGAAAACCTAGGGAAAACATTTTAGGACATTAGTCTAGGTAGAGATTTTATGGCTAAGACCTCAGAAGCACAGACACCAAAACCAAAAACCCACAGAAAGAAAAGGGAACTCTTATACTCTGTTGGGGGAAATATGAATTAGAAATTAGGACAGCCACTATAAAAAACAGTATGGAGATTTATCAAAAAACAAAAAATAGAACTACAGTATAATCCAGTCATTCCATGACTGGGTATTTATCCAAAGGAAAATAAATAAGTATATTAAAGAGATACCAGCACTTGGATATTGATTTATTGCAGCACTATTTACAATAGCAAAGATGTGGAATCAACCTAAGTGTTTGTCAATGGATACATAAACAAAGAAAATGGGGTGTATATACCCCATTTGACTGTAATGGAATAATATTTGACTATAAAAAAATGAAATCATGTCATTTGCAGCAACAGAGATCAAACAGAAGGTCATTATATTAAGTGAAATAAGCCAGGCACCAAAAGACAAATGTTGCATGATCTCATTTATATGCAGGAGTCAAAAAATTTGATCTCATGGAAGTAGAGAATAGATTGATAGTTATCAGAGGCCATGAAGGTTGTGTGGGAGGGGATAATGCAGATTGGTTAATGGGTACACTGAATCAGTTATATAGAAGAGATATGTTCTAATATTCAATAGCAGAGTAGCCGACTATAGTTAGCGATAATTTGTGTATTTTAAAGCTTCTAGGAGAAAGGACTTGAAATGTTCCCAACAGACAGAAATGATGAGTATTCAAGGTGATGGACATGCCATATACCCTGACTTGATCATTACATTTTATTCATATAAACATGTAAAATTATGTGTGTCAACAGGAAACTTAAAAACAATTAAAAAGTCTGTAAAGTAAATAATTTTTTTTTTTCTGACTCCAGGAAAAACCAAAAAGTTTATTGGGCAGTAAGCCTTCACTTAATGTCATTGATAGGTTCTTGGCAACTGTGACCTTCAGTGAAATGACGTATAACAAAACCAACTTCCCTATAAGGCTAATTGGTATAAACAATATTTAAGTTCCTATGGCATATTTCTGGTCACAAAAACATCACCAAACTTCTAAATAAAGACTCAAAACACTTCAAATATTAAACATTGAAATAAATGTGAGCTATATGTACATTTAAGAAAAACTAATTAAAACAAATGGAATAATTATTTACTCAATTATTCCAGGTCAAGGTCATGAATGGCTGGAGCCTATCCTGCCAACACAGGACACAAGGTAGGGACTCACACCCACACCCACACTCACTCAGACTGGGACAATTTAGAATTGTCAATGACCCTAACAATTTATGGCAAGCTAAGGTTAATTTATTATTGAAGAAAGAAAAAATACTTAAAAAGTAAATTCAGTGTAGCATAAGTGTGCAGTATTTAAGTTTCTTGTAGTGTGAAGTAATGTCCTAGGCCTTCACTCACCACTCACTCACTGACTCACCCACAGCAATTTCCAGTCCTGCAAGCTCCATACATGGTAAGTGGTCCATCCAAGTGGATCATTTTTATCTTTAATATTTTTACTATATTTTGACATGCCTGCTTAGATATGTTTGGATACACAAATACATTGTGTTACCATTGCCTACAGTATTCAGTACAGCAACCTGCTGTACAGGTTTTTAGCCAAGGAGCATATAGCTTATGTGTGGAGTAGGCTACACCATCTAGGTCTGTGTACGTACACTCCATAATGCTTGTATGATGACAAAATCTGCTAACAACATATTTCTCAGAGCATATCCCTGTTAAGAGATGCATGACTATATAGCCACAATGGGAGTGAGGGCTTCAATATATAAATTTTGGGGGAACAAAACTCAATTCCTGAAAGCTCCCTTCTTGGAGGGCTTGGGGATGTTGCCTGGGAAGGACACATGCTTATAGCATGACTGCATACCATATAAAAAACTGAACATTTAGGCTCTTCTCTCTATGTAAATTATACCTTCAGAAAACAAAACCACATGGGAAAAAGGTTTAGAGTTACATTTGAAATACAAATGGGACATTATCAGTGTGTCTTGCAGACTTTTGAAGATCTCCGAGTGTTGACAAAACAAACATCTTTGACATCTTTGTTGACAAGCAGACATCTTTGCTGGCACTGAGATGTCTCATTTTTGACAAAATGTAGTTCCTTGGTGATAATCATTGATTGTTTAGTGATCAGAAAGCAATATTTTCAGCATTTTACAGGTTAGCATGTTATTTTAATTGTATTAATGGATTAGGTTTATTTAGGAAATTGGGTTTGAGGTTGACGTGGACCAAATAATTTTTCCCATTTAAATATTCTATTTACTTCACAGGCTCCTTGTAAGAACCAGGGATAATGCATGTAAAGAACCCAGTCCTGTGCTGGCCCATGGCAACTGCTGAATGAATAACAATGTTAATTACAACAGAAGCTCACATGTATGATGTCAGGCCCAGAGGATGGTGTGGACGAGCAATATGAAAAAGTGAGTAGGGCAAGACATGGTGGGGGCCTAGTTATCAGGGCAAAGGCCTGAGACAAGGACTGGCTGGAAGTGAGGTTGACCCTGTGTCCCATCTTGTTTCTTGAGACAGATCTTGGGAATTGGGGTCAGAACTGGGCCATAGTCAGGGCCCTAGGTGCCAGGTCTGGGGGAAGCTGGGGTGTGGGACCAGTTGTGGGGCCTGGCAGCACCCAGCTTGTCTCATACAGGCTGGAGGGACCTCAACCAGCAAGGGTGTGCTCTGAACCGGATCAGAATGACCTTCTGGCTGGGGCTCAACCAGTCACGTATTCCTTTCTTCTTTTTTAGTTGGGTGCATTATTGGATGCCCGGTGAGAGCAAGACACCATTCTTGCAATTATGACTGGGGGTGAACAAAGAGGACAAGACTATTTACTCCTAGTTTTGAAAGAAGTATTAACATTTCTTTCCAAAAATTGTGGATGTCTTAATTTTTCCTTTAATTTTGTTCATTAAAAGAAAATGTATTTTATTGATCTATTTTGGGGTTTTGTTGGTGGTGCATATAGGCAAGTAGTCCCTCTTCCTGGTGAATTCTTCCTTTTCATTTTGCAACAAACCTCTGTATTTCATTTAAGAATGTGTTCTGTGGGGAGAAATGCCAGATATAGGGGACGGCGGGATGGAGGCAGCAAAGCACCTTGCCATGTATGCACCTATGCAACAATCCTGCATGATCTGCACATGTACCCCAGAAACTAAAGTACAATTAAAAAAAAAAAAAGAATGCGTTCTGCCTTAAAGTCTATTTTATATAAAATTAGTATACCTGTGTCCAACTTTTGGTCTTATTGTCTTCTTGGAATATTTTATCATTCATTTACATTCAACATTTGGTCATTATATTTTGATATATAATTGTGTTTCATTTGGTTTTTAATAAAATTTGAGGTTTTCTATCTTTTAATTAGCCAGTATAGCAAATTTATACCTATTGTGATTAAAGATACATTTTGGTATTTTTTACAATCATATTTTCACTTTATTATAACTTTGCTTCTTTCCTTCCTTAGCTACAAATTCATTTGAGTTTTCAATTCATTTATTGATTACTTGTAGTTTTTTTCCTACTTATTTAACAAAATCTAAGGTTGATGGTTTTTCTGCCTTCCTCTCACAAAAGACATCTTTTATCTTAGTTTTTATTCATTATTTTAGTTTTGTCTTTTTGAAAATTGCTATTAGTTTAGTTATTTTGCATATCTTAACAGCCAGTATTTACCAGCTCATTTGCTTATTACTCTTTACTGTTAAGTCAGTCGCTTTTCTTCTGAAAGTCATCCTATCGTCATTTTTTTTCCATCAATATGTTGTATTAGTCAAGTCCATGTCTTCCTATGACTCTAACAAATTACCTAAGACTGGGTAACTTATGAACAATTGAAATTTATTTCTCACACCTCTGAAGGTTGGAAGTCCAAGAACAAAGTATCAGCAGGTTCAGTTGTCTGGTGAGGGCTGCTCTCTGCTTCCAAGATGGTGCTTTATTGCAGCATCTTTAGAGGGGTGAACGATGTGGCCTCACCTGTCACAGAGAAGGAAAGGACAAAAAGGTGTAAATTCCCTCTATCAAGCCCTTTTATAAGGGCACCTAATCCCATTCATCAGGACAGAGTCCTCATGCCTCAATTACCTCCCAAAGGCCACATCTCCCAATACTGCCGCATTGGGGATTAAGTTTTGGAGGAGACAGAAACTTTCAAACCATAGAATGTCAGTATTTCATGTCTGAAAACGTCTTTATTTTGTCCTCACTCATAAATGCTAGTTTACCTAGTGCAGAGGTATTTCCCCCAAGAAAATTTCAAGATATTTCTCCATTGCCTTCCAGCCTTGATAGTACAGATGGGAAATTTTTCTAATTGCTATGCTTTGGAGGCAAATTAGTCTTTTCTTTACGGTGGTTTTAGAATTTTTTTCTTTGTTTTTGGTGTCTTCCATTTTCACCGTGATGTACCTGGTATAGACATATTTTATTAACCTTCTCAGGACTCACTGCTATTTCAGTCTGAGGATTCATGACTTTAGTCAATTCTGAAAGACTCTCAGTCATTATCATTGTTTTTTCACACATGGCTTTTCCTCCTGTGGCATAATAAAGAAAAATATCTAGTTTTTGCCCCATCACAGAGCTTCAAAAACCATTGGAATTTGCAGAGCCATAGGAGTTGTTTGTTATACTAATTAGGTGACTCATGGCAGCCCTGAGATAGCATCAGGGTGGAGGCTGGTCAGTAGAAAGGCCAGTCATGTGATTACTGGGTTGAAAATTTGGGCAAGCCCAACCTTCGACCTCTGGGCAGTGGTGTAGGGCTAGAGATTGAACTCAGTGACACAGCTGTCATACCTACATAATGAAAGCCCAATACAATCTCTGGACAGGAGGCTCAGTGGAGCTTCCTGGTTGGTGAATGCATTGATGTGCTGGGGGTGATGCGCTTGGATTCCATCAGAAGAGGGCATCAAAGCTCTGTGCTGCGCCTCTCCCCACGACCCTTGCTCTATGTGCTTCTCCATTTGGCTGCCCCTGATCTGTATTCTTGATAAGAAAGCAGTAACTGTGAACTATAGGGCTTTCAGTCAGTTCTATCAGCTGTTCTAATGAATGATCAAACCTGAAGGGGCTGTGGGACCCTCTGGATTTATCAATGAGTCAGAAATGTGAATGGCCTCTGAGACTTGATGTGAGATTTTTCTCATCAAGTTTTCTGAAGGGCTGAGCCCTTTAACTTGTGAGATCTGATGCTCCCTCCAGGTGGTTAGTGTCAGAATGTATTCCAGTCACTTAGTAGGGGTGAAACCAAAACATTTTGGAAATTGTAGCCAGCCAGGAAGAACTGCAAGTGTCTTGAGGACATCTGAAACTTGTGGCTGACGTCTTAAGGGGGGCAGTTCTGTGAAGGACTGTGCCCTTAATATGAGGGGGCTGCACTAACTCCAGGTTTCTAGGGTCAGAATTGAATTAGATTGTAGTATGCCCAGTTGGTATCAGAGAATTGGTGTCAAATATGACTCCATTGCCTAGGTTCCATTTGCATTTTTCTGGAGTTCCTATTTTATATATATATATATATAAAATCTTCTTTTTTATCTTTTGTGATCCAGCTTCTCTTTTATATTTTTCTTCTCATTATCTCTCTGTGCTGCATTCTGGCTAATTTCCTCAGCCCTATTTTCTGGTTAACCAGCTCTCTTTTGAGCTGTGCCTAATAATCTATTTTATTCAGCCACTGAGTTTTTAATTTTAGTGACTACATATTCAATTTCTAGAAGTTTTAAGGGATTCAAATCTTCCCTTTTCTTCTTATGTTTTATGGCCCTTTTATCTGTTAATCCTTTTAAATACAATTATTTCACTATAAACTTCTGATCTTTCTAGTATCTCAAGTTCTAGTGCATGCAAGTTTATCCCATGTGCTAATTCTTGCTCACGGTGATTAAAACTTCTGATTGTGACCTCAGTTTCTGAGGTTCTCCCTCCATGTCCCACCACAGGACTCCCATCCAAACCGGCTTATGGAAGTGCTTGGCATCGAGTGCTTTGTGTTTTCTTCCCCTAGGTATCTCTGATCCTGCACCATGTTAAAGTTAATTTATTGGTCAAGTGATTCCTGTGCCAAGCAAGTGGTGTAAATTTGAACACCAAGTTCACGTGAGATATAGGGCTAGGATTTTGGTACCTCATAAGAGAGTTCCTCCAACATCTGCCTCCAGAGATCAAACAGAGAAAAGCTTCATTTTTATTTTCTTGGGTCAGTGGGTAGATTCCTGTCTCCCCTCATTTCTGCCCATTTCTATCTTATTGAAGGTATAGCCCTCGAAGTGTGCTGGCTTTAAGTAGGTGACTCTGTTCTACCTTCTTGCCTTTGGAACTCAAGGTCTATTCTTCAGACTCAATGGGAGTGTTAAAACCCAAGCCCTCAGACTTTTATTTTTCTTAGTGAAAGCACATGACTCTTTAAACCCGTGTGATTATCTGGCTTTTAAATCCTACTTTTAGTTGAGCTGCTTGAGTAGAATTGACTGCTTTGAATACTTGCTGGACAGCTGTTACCTGGGGATTTCTTTTCCTTGCTTTCTTGGTTGATTCATTTTTTTAAGAAAATTGTGAATTACTGTTCTATGAATTGCACATTTTTTTTTTCTGTAGTACTCCCTCAAGCAATTTTTTTTCCCAGAAAGGGTATATGGGAGAAAACCTTTTTGAGATTTCCTCTCTTAAAACCTCTTCAATTCCCCTTACGTTTGATTGATAGTTTGACTGGGTATGGAATTGCTGGTCAAATTGCTCCATTCTTCTTGGCAAGGACTCAACCTCTGATTCCTCCATTGAAGGATGAGATGATTAAGGGGACTGATAAACCAATGTGTGTGATGAGGCTGGCAGAGGTCCTGGCTGGCAGATGTCTGGCTTAGGCCTATTGAGTAACAGGGCAAATGACTTGGTGTGTCAGTGACTTATTGAGGCTGTCCTCTAAGAAGAAACCCATAGGAAAGTCAGGGAAGCAGGATATGGTGGGGAACACTAAACAAAGATGTGGCTCCAGCCTCAGCATGATCCTACGTTCATTTTAAAGTGAAGGGGCCCAGGTTGTGTACCTCTTATCAATCAGCCGACAGCCTGCTCCCAGGGAGGTAGGTGTAACTTCTCAGGGGAGGGCAGTCCTCTGGGCAGTGCAGCTACGGGTCTAATCATCACAGCAGCTGGGGGTGGGGGCTCTGCAATCGACATCTGGGTGGGGTGCCAACAGTGTTATTTCAACATTTAATAAATGATTGTGCCTTTTCCTCTTCTCTCCCTAGCTGTGTCCCATTTGAGGATATATGCCGTTGTGGACAGTAGAGAATACATGATGCCTGTTCTGGAAAAATGGGCCTCATGTTAGTCAACCATAGAAGAGACTGCAAATTCCTGTTTTGGATGTTACTGGGAATGCCAGAAGAATATGACACACTTTTGTCACATTCAGGAGCCTGCGGGCTCTGGGTTAGAGAGTTGAGACCATTCCCATCTGATGATGCACCGGATGAGTGGTAGGCACAGTGAAAAGCAGAGTGAGAATAGGGAGGTAAAGTAGGGGAGACCTAAGGACAAGACCAGAGGTTGAGTCCAGGTGGAGGAAGGCCTTAGACTGTGAGCAACAGGGCATCGCTGATGAAGCCAGCCAGAAGGAAAAAACGCATGCCCCCAAACCATTAGAGAAAACGGTGGCCAGAATATTGACCAACTACTAGGTGTTCCTACAGGAGTCAAGAGATCAGTGAGGACTTTTGGGGACTGTGAGGTCTTCTGGGGACACTGGGATCTGAGCCAATCTCTAGGGGATGAAGAGGACTTGGGTTGGGGAAGAAGGGATGGGGAAGGCATTCTAGTCAGGGGGAACAGTGCAGGCAAAGGCAGGAGAAGGGGGCTGAGCTCAGCATCCTCAGAGCATCACATGGGGCTGCTCTGTTGGGCAGTAAGTGCCATCTTGCTATCGAGGAGGTGGCTCCAGGGTGCACAGGAGCCCTCACGGGGGTCTGAATCCTGCCACTATGTCCCCAGCAGAGTACCTCATGTGTTGGAAAGGACAAAATTGGTTTTTTTCATATGTAAGCTAAAAAAGTGGATAATTCCATAGGGCCACGGGAACACCCGGAAGGGACAGGAACACCCCAAGGCCTGGGAGCTGGGGAGCTTTGGGTCTTTGTGCTGCCAGGACCTGGGAATTCAGAGACCAGTCAAGGGGAGCAGCAAGATCACCATTCCTGGAGGGGTCCTACAGTTTTCCCTCCTCGGGAGAAGACAAGCACTGGGGGAAGTCTAGGTGTGTAGCATGGGTGGGAGTAAAGTTGGCCAGCTGCAGAGGAGGTCCCAATTTCTGGTAAGTGGCCTGTCTTTGGATTTGTCTTCCGAGGTGGCTTGCTCTGTGGCTCCATTCCCATTGCTGCATGAACATGTCCACGCTTTCTGTGTTACTGGCTGAGCTGTGTCCCTTGTATTCATCTGCAGAAGCCCTAGCCCGCAGGACCGCAGAATGTGACTGTATTTGGACATACAACCTTTCAAGAGGGGATTAAGGGAAAATGTGGTCATACGGGGGGACTCTATAATCCAAGATGTCTGTCGTCCTTAGAAGAAGAGCACTTTTGGGTATACACAGTCACCAGGGATGCGTGCACAGAGGAAAAAGCCAGATGAGGACACAGCTAGACAGTGGAGTCAGCAAGCCAGGAAGAGAGGCCTCAGGAGGACCCAGCCCTGTGAACACTTTCCCGCCCGCTCTGCTTGGCTTCTTTCTGCCCTTCCATCAAGATTCCCCTGCAATGAGACCTCCTGGGAATGCTCCCCTTTTCTGGGCTCCCTCAGGCCTGTCGCCTCCTTTCTCAGAGCAGTGACCAGCCCTGGGGTAAGATCTCTTGGTCACTATCCCATCAGCTGGCAGGTGTGCTCCCTGGGAGGGGCTGACTTCTCCATCCCTGTGTAGCACAGTCCTGGCCCAGCGCTTGGTGAGTGCATCCTGCATTGGCTCAGACGTGTTGATGGCTTCTCTGGGCATCAGTGCCTTTCCCGGCTGCCCACCACACCCTTGCATGTGCTGTGCCTTCTGCTGCTTCCAGACCGACTCCCACTCATCTCTGCAAGGCACATGCTGGCGTCACCTGCTCAGAAGCCTCCCACCTTGGGCTGGTGTTCCACTCCCCTCTGCTTCCCCCACAGCTCACTGGCCCCTCTGTTTTTGTCACTGCATGTCATGACTCTTTCTGCCATGCCAGGAACTTCCTCATCTTCATGGCATCACCTGTTGTTCACTGCACTGAGTGAGCTGCCCCGAAGAAGGGGTGAAATCAGGAAAGAACTGGCCAATCTGTAACCAGAACTGAAGGGAAATTAGAGAGTTCAGAAATTCTTGGGTTTTCTGGGTTAGGAAATCAAACTATTTTTCGTCTTTAGCCTCTCCCAGAGCAAGAGCAAGACACAGCCTTGTTAAGACTTCTAAAAGTCTGAAGGTGGCACTTTATAGAATCCCTCACCGGAAACAGAAGGCCACCTAGCAAGACAGAAGGCATGGTCTCACTGAGTCCCATGATGCCCAAGTGCCGGCATGCAGTCTAGACAGCAGGGCTGGTCTTGCGAGGAAGCTGCGGCGTGCTTGTTGGCATGTGGAGGGAGCCACCATCAAACACATGGAAAATCCAAGTGTCTGAGGGAGTTCTGTTGGCAAAAGTGCTGCCCGCCTAAAAGAGATGGTGACGGTTCAAGATGTGAATCAATCTCCAGGTTCTTGATTTGCTCCAGGCAGGGGAAGGCTGAGAAAGCTGCTCAGGGCTGTAGAAGTGCATGTTCCCCAGTGCCCTCATCACATGGGATGGGGGAGGATGATGGAAAAGGAAGGAGCTTTCCTGGAGTGGCCCCAGGAGCCGTGGAGAGTGATGGCAGGAACGCTGTCCCCAGGGAGCAGACCCAGGGCCTGATCAGAGGGTAGTCCCTGCCCTTAGGGCAGGGGGCCTTGCAGTATTTTCCCAGGAGTGTGTTGAATTTCTCTGGACAGTTGTAGTTCTTGGCCTCTGGATAAACAGGAGTCGTGGACTTGCTATATTCACAAGACCCTGCACCTCAAGGCTGACGCTGTGATGGGGTGAGGCTTCTGGAACGTCTTGGGAAAGGTACATGTGTTTAGCATGTGCACAGGAAATGATAGGACAAACTGTGGGAATTTAGATTACTATTCAGCAAACACTGGCTTCTTCTTTCTCCTGCTAGAGACAATATATTTCCCCACTCCATGGATATATGCTGACTTTGGTCACAGGACTTCCATTGACCAATGAAATGTTGGCAGTTCACAGATGAGAAAGGCTTGAAATGTGCTTGTGGTGTTTGGTTTGTCTTCTTGCCATCTTCACTTCACATGGTCTTTCCCTTGGGTCACTGTCATCCCTTTCCTAAATCAGATTTGAGACCAAGCCACAGGGAAAAGTCAACCCCAGCTAGACCCACAGCTGAGCCAAGCTCATCCTCAGTGGTGATGAGATCAGTGGCCTCTCCCAACTAACTAGCATCTGTGAATGACAATGCATGAGTGATGATGTTTTGAGTGACAGAGTCTGGAGTGGTTTGTTATGCAGCAATAGCTGACTGATACACCTTCCTTCCAGGGAGAATAGGTGGCAACCAAAGAAATCACAGGCAGACCTGTTTTCTGGGAGCAGCTATTGAAGAGGCTCACAAAACAGCCTGCAGTGGAAGCAGACAGAGCTGTGGCCCTCGATCCGTGAGCAAGGGTCCTTCTCTCAGTTTTCACTTGGCCTCCCTAGGCTCCAGCCTGAGTCCCTGCAAGCTGTTCTGAGAATAATGAAAAAAGGAGGATGATGGGGCCGTGGGTTCACATAAACACCCTAACAGGATTATTTTCTTTAAATTAAGATGGAATGCGCCTTGTTCTTTTCAATTATAGGAATAATAAACATTCTCTTCTCTTGATCAGTTTTCCTAACTACAGGCAATGCTGTTAACTGTAAAATGCCTAACACGGACTCAAAGTACTGTCTCCATTACATTACCATTAAAGCTGCCACCCGACAGTTATAGTCAGTATTAGTTTTGAGCTACAGAAGGGAGATTTGATTTATCAAAAAATCCCACACCGGTGGGACAGATTTATGGGACCTCAGCAAATGTTTTTTTAACAAAAATTATAATTTTAAATACTCCATTAAATCTTATGCCAGCCCATGTATTTAAACAAAATTCAAGTGGGCTTATAGTCTTCTCTTTCCCTTGATAATTAATCAGACGAAAGTTGATCTTTAAAATGGAGTTAGCAATTGCCTTGAAAAATACAAATTCTCGATTCTTTTTCCTAATCTGTCTGTCCCATCCGCCAGTGGCCTCTGACTGGGTCTTTAGGGGGTTAGCACTGCCGCTGTTGGATGAAGTCTGACTGGGCCTTTAGGGGGTCAGTAGTGAGTTTGCTCAGATAAACGTCGTGTAAGTGGGACTTGTTACACTGTCTGATCTCACTGCAGTGTGCATAGTTCTCCCGTGTCTCCCTTACCAGCCTGTGAACTCTCCTGGGGTAGGAATGAGATCGTGTTTGTGTCTGTGCCCCTAGCGCCTCCGAGGGTGCTCTACACAGATGTGCCTCCATTGTTGATTAGGACTGAATGGCAGAGGTTAATCTCCCAAGGCCCCTGGGGAACAGAAGCCCCCGATGCATGAGTCAATCACATCTGCACAAATTCAAGCACAGTTGCTATTGGCGCCCATTTACCATAATCAAGGATGAGCACTGGAGTCAAGAATGTGCCTGGCAAGTTGGGGTAAGGAAGACTCCAGTGGAGGCCCTGCTCAGGAATGTCGGCTCTTTCCTGCTGTTACCTTGTGTCCCAGCCTGACTGGTGAAGACATGAGTGGGATGCCCTGTTGTCAGGCCTGCAGCATCAGGTGGGGATGCACAGCCAGGACATGCTCTTTCTGCACCCTGTGCCACCACACCGCCACCAGCTTGTTCACATGTCTTCCCCTTTCACCGCCAGGAACAAGCAGCATGAAGGCCAGAGGGTCCTCATCTCCATTTGGAGCTACAAAACACCCAGCCAGGCTCTGAAACCCCAACTCAGAGGGTCCCCACTCAAGTTAGCCCAGAAGCCATTTATGATTCTCTCAACTCACTGATGTAGTCCTTCCCTGGATCCTCACAGAACTCAAATTAGGTCTTGGTGGGACGCTGATTATAAAGTCACTCAGTGCTTGCTTATACCTCTACACATTCTTCTGACTGAATTAGATTGTGGCAACAGTTTCTGGTCTCCTTCCTGCATCTTCTGTCAGTTGTCTGTAAAGTGGGGTGTGCGGGCTTTGGAGTGTGACAAGCCCATGCTCTCCCCATAGCTCTGCCCCCTGTCTGGATTTCCAGAGTTGATAAGTTCCTGAGAGCTGGGGCCCTATGAAAAGGCCCTAAGTAGGGTGGTGGATGGAGAATCCCTAGGTCTGGGGCCGCCCAGACATGGTCACTTACTGCTAGAGGCTCAGGGCATGAGGTGTGATGCAGGCTTGGTGACCTGGCTCATGGGTGGAGCGTTTCTGTACACTGAGGTGAAGCTGGAGTGCTGGGGGTGGGGGCTGCAGCACCTTGCTGCTCTCACCTGGAGACTAAAGTCCCCGGGAGCCAGCCCACCACCACAGCCTTTTCTCAGGTGGGTCTTTGGGAGTGAACCAAAGAGTGAGGGTAGTGTGGGGCGAGGAAGCAAAAGACCCCCAAACCTTGAATGAGTCTAGCTCATTCTTCTCCAGTGCTTAATGCTCATGTGTGGCTGGGTGGTGCTCTGCTGCCGACTTCTCAGAGTCCCGGTGAGTCTTCTAGCAGCTGGCTCTGATCAACACAATGGCCATCCTCTCCCTTCCCTGCCACCTACGACAGAAGGAGATGGTGCCACATCTAAGAATTCAGTTGGGCCCCTCTGAGTTGGGGTTTCAGAGCCTGGCTGGGGTTCTTTTGTAGCTCAAAGTGGACATGAAGAACCTCTGGCCTTCATGCTGCTTGTTCCTGGGGGAGATGGCGTGGCTTGGAGTGGGAAGGCAGGCTTAAATAGAATTGACTGAAGGCCATTGGTTTGGACTGAGCTCCTGCCCTAGGCCCCACAGATAGGACCAAACCAGAATCAAGTCACTTGTGTCAGGTGCCGTGTCATAAAACCGAACTTGGAAATGGGCCAGTTTTCTTTTTAAAATTAGGAAAAATTCATCACAACCAATCAGAAAAGGCCTGGTGTTCCTGAGCTGCCGGCCAAATAAGGAAGTCTCTCTCTTTTAACCCTATTAGGAATGTCACTTTGAAACCACCCATCTGTCTTTTGTTCTCTGTGTCTGCTTCCCGCTTCCCTTTTTGTCTATAAAGCCTACCTGCTCTGCTCAGCTCAGTGGAGCACCCATTTCATACATAGGATGCTGCCTGATTCATGAGCTGCTAATAAAAGCCAATTAGATCATTAAACTCATTTTGCTGAA